TTTCCCTTGTGAGTAGAAGAACGGGGCTCCTGGGGGCCCAGGGACACTGGGATTGGTTTGAGGAGGAGAATCAGAACTGAGGAGGTTTGCCTGGAGCCCTTTCAGAAGAGGTTGGGACAGCTTTGGGTGAGGTGAGGGTGTGGGACCTTATGTCTGTGTTGGGTCCGGGAGGGATGAGGTAGGACCCCCAGTCTTCTAAGTTATTATATCTTCTGTTTTTGCGTGGCCTAGACAAGAGTGCTTGCCCCCAGTCGGGGTCTCATCCTGGAGAGGGGGCAGTAAACCTGGCACAGGCAGAATGGTGGGGCCAGCCTCCCTCAACTCCATTCAGCCTTCCCACCCCCTCCCCTGCCCCGCCCCTCTTGCCTCCCCAGCCCTTATCTGCCCCACCTGCCACTTTAAATCTTGGAGGCTGCCTGCCCTGCCCCTCCCACCTCCGCTGGGCCCTATATCTTGGTCCTGGGGCAGGGGCGGGGGCACTGGCCCAGCCACCTGGATGCTGAGACTCTGTTCCTGGTTTTCTTGCTGTGGAACTGGGTAAGCAGCAGGAGGGAAGCTGGGTAAGTGTCTGGGGGGTCCTGGCCAAACTGGTGAGAGACACCAGAGGTTGAGGGACCCCAGAGAGAGTCTGGGGGAAGCCCCAGGTCTGGAGTACTACCCCTCCTTCACCTTCTTAGGCCCCTGGGAGGTATCTGCGTGGGCTGTGTGGGGAGGGGGCGGATGCAGCAGCTGGGCCACGGAGCACTGACACCTGGGCCCAGGCGTTCAAGTGCTGGCAGCTGCCCGGCCTGCTGGGAAGGAGCCAGGGGCTGCCAGAGGGTGACTGGAGCTGAGATGGGCATGAGGAGGGCTGTGGCCCACGCCTCTCGGGCAGGGTGTATACACGCTAAGCACATCTTTGTGTAAACCTGTGTCAGGTCCCTGTGGGCCCCTGGGTCTGTGTTCCGGCCCTGCCTGTGTCGGTCGGTGCCCACCTGTCTGTGTGCTAGACTGTGTTTATCCGTGTGTGTGCCAGTGTGCGTTTGTGCATGTCAGGACTGGTGTGTTTGTGTGTAGCTGCCTGTTAATGCAGGCCCGGGGTACATGTTGTGTCCTTGTGTGTCAGTACTGATATGTGGCGGTGTCTCTGTTGGCCCCAGTGTCTTTGGATCTACATGTATCCGTGTCAGCATGAACACCTGCGTGTTTATCTGTGTCTCATTGTGTTCTTTACTCTGCCTACCAGCATGTGTTTCTGGGTGCGTCTGGGTGTGTCCCTGTGTGTTCACAAGGAAGCCCACCCTGGGACAGAATGAGAAGGGAGAGGACTGGCCGCGTGGGCAGGTGGCGCGACAGCCCGGTTCCTCCTGCCCGCCTCCGGGGCACCCACCCTCCTTCCCTCTGCCTCCCCAGACCTTGGGCTCTGGGCTCTCCTGACTTGATTCTGACCCCGAGCCTCTAGTGTCCTAGTCCTCTCTCCTGACGGGACACCATGCCTGGCTCTAGCCTTCCTGGGACCCAGCCTCCTTCCCTTACGCCCTGCTCTGTCCACCCTCCCCAGGAACGCCAGCGCCTGGAGACCATCCTGAACTTATGTGCCGAGTACAGCCGGGCCGACGGGGGACCTGAGGCCGGGGAGCTGCCCAGCATCGGGGAGGCCGCCGCAGCCTTGGCTCTGGCCGGCCGGAGGCCCTCACGAGGCCTTGCGGGGGGCACTGGGGCCTCTGGGCGGAGCAACGAGGAGCCTGGAGGTGCCACCCAACGCCTGTGGGAGACTGTGGAGCGCTCGGATGAGGAGAATCTCAAGGAGGAGTGCAGTAGCACGGAGAGCACCCAGCAGGAGGTGGGACCCAGCAGGAGGTGGGACCCAGCAGGAGGTGGGACGTGGGGTGGACTGCCACAGGCCAAGGAGGCATGCGTGTGTGGTGGATGCCAAGGCCCAGCGAGGGGGAAGTATATGAAGTTTGGGACGACATCAGGGTGTAGAAATGAGGAGGCGGGACTCCCCTGGCAGTCCACTGGTTAAGACTCCGTGCAGGGGGTGTGGGTTCCACGATCCCTGCTCCGGGAACTAAGGTCCCACGTATCCAGTAGCGGGGCCAAAAAAAAAAAAAAAAGAGGAGGCAAGGAAGAGGGGGAGGTCTTGATGAGTTTCCCAAGCTATAAATATGCTTTATGACCTGGCTTTCCTTGGAGCCCCACCCAGGCCTGGCACTTGGTGGTGAGTCTATTACTTTTAGCCAAGCTGTATTGCTCCCCGTGCAGGGAGGGGAGTTTCCTCCTATCTCAGTCCAGCTGACCCTTCCGAGCACCCTGAGAAATGGGGATCCATTTCCTTAGTCTCATCCTGGAAGGCTCTAGGCTTCCCTAGCTGATGGCTCCCCTCCCCTCCAGCACGAAGATGCACCTAGTGCCAAGCTCCAGGGAGAGGTGCTGGCCCTGGAAGAGGAGCGGGCTCAGGTGCTGGGGCGAGTGGGGCAGCTCAAAGTCCGGGTGAAGGAGCTGGAGCAGCAGCTGCAGGAGTCGGCCCGAGAGGTGAGAGCGAGGGCCCTGGCTGGGCTCCTCCCCGGGCACAGTGATGGCCCCAGAGTGGCCCGAGTCCAGCTGCCTTGAGTGGCCTTGACATGGAGCCTGCTGTTGCCTCCAGGCTGAAATGGAGCGGGCACTGCTGCAGGGGGAGAGGGAAGCAGAGCGCGCACTGCTGCAGAAGGAGCAGAAGGCGCTGGACCAGCTGCAGGAGAAGCTGGTGACCTTGGAGACGGGCATCCAAAAGGAGAGGGCCAAGGTAACCACTCCAGGCTTGGCTCAGTGCTGGGCGCCTGTGGCCTGGGAGAGGAGAGATGCCTTCTCTGGGGCCCCTAACCTCTTACCACATTGTTCATCCTGCAGCCCGACTGGTCTCTGGGCCCCTCCAGGGGCAGGGGGCCTTTTTCTCCATGGAAAGTACCAGCTTGGAGGGCGCTGCCAGGGTCTGGGCTGGTGTCTGGGGTCTCCTCTGCCTGGGTCTCTGTTCTACATCTGGGTGCCTGGGTGCCTGCCACTCTGGGCCCTTCGTGCCCCTTCTAGGAAGTGCCGAAGCCCCTTCTTGGGCGGTGAGCATGGCCCAAGGCACTGGTGCTGGGGAGTGATTCAGGTCTGGGTGTCTGCATCTGGAGGACATCCGCCTCCAAGCGTGGCTCTGGTGCTCAGGATGTGGTCTTTGGGAGATGGCCCTCAGGTCTCTGTTTCCCTTGAGCCTTCAGGATCTGCAGCCTCCCATCCCAGATGGTCCCAGCTCCTGCCCCTGGCCCTTTCAGATTTCGTGCCAGCCTGCTGGGGCCGCTCCATCCCACAGGGGCCGTGTCAGCCACGCCCAAGATGTCCAACAACGTGCCAAAAGCTCCGAAGTGGAGAGGGGCCACCTATTTCTGGACTTGACAGTATTTTTCCAAGAATTAATTCTCCTTCTGGATTTTTTGAGAGTGTCTTCCTCCTGCCCCTCAGTTTTGAAGCTCTTAAAAATTCTTTGACCCTCCCACCCTTTTTTTTGGAGCTTTGGCTCTGGCCCCCAAAACCACACTCCCAAATTCTGTGCCAAATTAACTCCATGCTTACCAACCAGGCCTGCACTAACGCCCCCTCTAATCACTGTCCTGGGCTCTCTGCATGTCCCTAACTGCCAGTGCCACCCAGGCAGGGCTGAGCCGTGCCTGCTTTTGCACTAACTCCATGGGCACCCCTGTGCCCTTGGCCCCTCCCCTCTAATGTTGCCTCCTTCCGTTCTTGGTGTGGGACCCCAGGGTTTTGATCAGAAAGGAATGGGCAGGGGGCACTGCTCAACTTTACTCAGTGGGGCATTGGCAGGAGGGGTACAAAATTGGGGGAAATGCTTGGCTGAGAAGCCTCTCAGTCCAAAGAGCTCCTCTCATTTGGAAAAGCCAGGGTGCGGCCTCCACAGACTGTTGGCAGTCTCCTGCACAGAGGAGAGGCGGGCTGTCCTCCAGCCGTCACCTGTCTTCCCTCCTGAGTGGAGGGATGAGGAGGTCCAGTGGTGGTGGCATGGCCTGGGGAAGGCACGGACAGGGGCTCTCTGCCACACAGTGGCTACCCTTCCTAGCTTTCCTCTGGGGCTTCCCAATTTCAGATACTCCAACCAGAGGGCGGGAAGGGGTAGGTCTCTCCCCACTCCCACCCCTGATCCATTCAGAACATAGGGTATTGCAAAGGCTGAGTCCAAGCATGGGGAAGTGCTTGGACCTCAGAAACTGGCCTGATAAGGTCCTCCTCTCCTGGATGAGGATGGGGGTGTGGGGTGGAGGGGGGACAGAGGCAGGGTTCAGCACAGGGACTCCAGGGTGAAGCTCAG